TCTCTTTTCCAGATCTCTCGGATCGGCGGCGGGTCGAAGCCTCCGAGGGGTCGGAGTCCTGCTGTCCTGGGAATGGGCATGGGGGGTGCACGGGCCCCGCAGGGCAGCGGGAGCCCCGCCAGCGTCCCCGAGCCTTCGGGGGGCGTGGGTGACAGGTCGCTGTTCCTTGCTCCAACCCTTTGCGTTTTCTTTTGGGGTGGGGGAAAGGACAGACAGGGGCGCTTGGGAGTTTGCTCACGTCCGAAGTCAGGCTGCGGCACGATTGGGATGGGGGAGGCTTGGCATCGGGGCGACCGAGGAGAGGAGCGTTTGCACCCGAAGGGGGCACTTCTGCGAGCTTTTTCCCCCTCCTGAACACCCTGTTTAAAAAGCCAACGGCCGCCCTGGGAGAGGCCCCGGCGCATGAATCATCCTCGCTTCCTGCCCCCGCCCGGCCCCGCGCTCCGGGTGCCGCGGATTTGAACTGGAAGCCGACGGGAACCCGCAAACAGGCATTTCTTTGCAGATGGGTTTGAATCAGCCAATCACAGCCCGCGGGGGCCCGCTCCGGGAGGAGGGAGGCGGGGGAGGGGGCCGCCACCCGGGGGCCCCAGCCCGGCCGGGGGTGGGGGCGCGGCGACCGGGCCTGCTCCCAAAGGCGCAGCGGGGGAGGAAGTGTCAGTTTGTGAACCTGCCGCAGCCCGGCCCCAGCTCAGGCGGGCGGGGACCTCGCAGCGCCGGGGGAACCAGGTGGCAGAGAGAGAACAGGGGTTCAGAATGCATCCCCTGAGCAGTGCCTGTGTGCTCTGCCCTCGAGAAAAGAGAGGACTGGGAGGGGGGTGGAGGGGGACGAGGCCACGCCACCGTCTGGGGAGCCAAGACCCTAGCAGTGCCTTGCCCTCTCCGGGGCCCCTCACATGCACATACATGTATGTAGTTTCGTGTGCTCCCTGGAACACGGCTGTAGACATGATCCTACACGATCTCACAGGAGCACACACGCGCGCGCACACGGAAACACGCACAGGACTCTCCCTGTCGACAGATAGTCATAACACCAGGTACCCAGAGCCATGGCAGAGAGGGAGGTGACCAGAGCAGCGGGTGCAGGGAACAGAGCAAGGCTCGCGCACACGGAAACACGCACAGGACTCTCCCTGTCGACAGATAGTCATAACACCAGGTGCCCAGAGCCATGGCAGAGAGGGAGGTGACCAGAGCAGCGGGTGCAGGGAACAGAGCAAGGCTGTGTCTGGCTGTAGTGGAGACTGTGTAGAGGGGCATGGAGCCAGGTGAGCCCAGAGAGGGGAGGAGGGGGCCTTGGGGAGGGATTGGAACACCAGTGAAGGCACTGGGGAGCCACAGAAGGTTTCTGGAAAGGAGCTTGAAGAAGATGCAAATTGGTGGCCCTTAGGAAAAGTCTGGTGGAGAGGCAGGAAGGCAGGAGTAGTCTGGTTAGCACTGGGTGCTGGTGGTGCCTTTCCCCATCCCGGGTGCCTAGTACAGGTGAGCACAAGGCTCAGGAAACAGTTATTGAATGAATGAACCAATGGCTGGAGCAAAAGATGAGGCCTGAACTCGGACCAGGACAGAAGGGTGGAAGAGAAGGCACCCATGCCAGAGGTCATTGTGCTTGAAATTGGCTGTCTATGGCAACTCATCGGTTAGAGAAGTCAGAGATGCCTGGCGGTTCTGGAGATCATGGTAGTACCATTAGCAGGGAGAGAGAAAGCAATGGGGGAGAGACACATTTAATAGGATAAGAGAGACAGGCGTAGAGAGGCTGGCATGGGGATGACTTAACTGCTTGGAGCAAATTTGCATCTGGGTAAAAGCGTAATTGGGTTTAAATGTCTCAGAATCGGTTTCCATTAAATCATCACATAATTGAGAACAGAAAAGGGGATAACAAAAGACACAGATGGCCCCGTCTCCACAAATTCACAAGCCACCCAGGAGTTTTCCGTTCTAGGTGAGTTTTCTCTGGTCAGATCTCAAGGTAGGGGTGGGGGGTGGGGGGCATAAAAGCTTCCCAGCTGCTCCTCTGGAGAAGACCTCCACCCAAAAAATGCAGAGTGTGTTTGCTTAAGGGATAAAGCCTCAGCCTCCAAAGTTAGGGAGTGTGTTTCAGGCCCCCTGGGCAGGGGCCTTTGCTCTGTGTTTGTTGAGATTAATTCTCTTTAGAAGGCGGTGTGGTGTGTAGAAAGAGAGTTGACAGACTTAGAATCGGGTCACCTCATCATGAACCATGGCTCTGCCTCTGGCCCATCAGCCACTTCTCCTTGCCATACCTCAGTTTCTCTGTCTGCAAAATGGGAATAATAATGTCTCCTTCATAGGGTTGTCATGAGGATTCAGTGAGATAATAAGCATGTCTGGCACATAGCACAGGTTACAGAAATGGTAGTGTCCTTCCTTCCCCTGATGGGCTTTTTGGAGCAGGGGAGAAAGAAGGAAAAACCCTGTTCTTGCTCTCTGTCAGTGTCAGTGGAAGCTGATGGAAAATCGAGCTCTGGACCCAGGGACTCGGGACTCCTATGGTGCCACCAACCACCTCCCAAACAAGGGGGCCCTGGCGAAGGCCAAGAACAACTTCAAAGACCTGATGTCCAAGCTGACGGAGGGCCAGTATGTGCTGTGCCGATGGACAGATGGACTGTATTACCTAGGGAAGATCAAGAGGGTAAACCTTTCCTCTCTGACCCCTGTTTCCAGGTTCAGCATCTCTCTGCTCATCCTTGGGTCTATCCCTCATTCCAGAGATGGGAGTAGGGGGATTTTGGGGGAATTCCTTTCTTGTCCCTCATGCCCAAAAGCTGAAAGTGGAAGGAGCCAGAGCCTGGTCTTGCAGGCACCATCCTTAAGGCCAACATCATCTAAACAGTTCTTTAGAAAAGTGCACTGAGGGTCACAGATGACCTTCTGGCCTGTTCTCTGTCCTCAATGTTCCCACTGAGTTGTCATTCCCCAGTCCCTGACTGTACAAGCTCCAGGGCCTAGGAGCCCTCTACCTCCAGGAATGCCATCCTCCTTCCCCTTCTACCCTAGCACTGCTTTCTGGAACACAAGACGACAAAAATGGGAGAGGAAGACCATGTTCCAGCCTGGCTCTTCCCTAGCCACTTTCTCACATCGCTCCTCCCTCTCCATGTCCCAGGTCAGCAGTTCTAAGCAAAGCTGCCTTGTGACTTTTGAAGATAATTCCAAATACTGGGTCCTGTGGAAGGACATACAGCATGGTGAGTTTTCCAAAGATTTCAGGTACCTCCACCCTTCCTAGGTCCTGTCTCCTCCACTATCTTCATTTTTTCCTTCTTTCCTTTCATCTCTTACTCCTGGCACCTGCCCTTGTCTGTGGACTCCAAGCCCACCTGAGATGATCCAATTACCAGCCGTGTGTTTAATTGGAAAGGCACTTGCAACATCTGCCATCCCTTGAGTACTCGTACCTCATAAGGGACGCAGGGCAGGTGGGCAAAGTGGCTCAGGGAGGAGCTGAGAGGGTGGGGACTGGTCTCAGGCCGGTGTTTGCTTCTTTGCTGCACTGCATCTCCTGCTGCTCACAGCTCTGGGGCTAGGAAAGGGAGGGACCCAGATAATCAGAACTGTCACCTCTAGATGCAAGCACAGTGCCCCCTACTAATATGTGACTAAAATTAATGGAGGCAGCTCTATCCATGGGGCAAGGAGCTGGGGGTGGGGGAAAGACCAAGAAAGCAGAGCTGGACCAGCGGAGTGAAGATTGATAGGCCTGGATGGAGCTGGACCAGCTTTCAGGGTTGAAAGGGAGCTGGGTTATCTTACAGAGATGGCAAATCAGGGGCACTCTTCCCACCATTCTGCCTTCCCATGCGCTTGGCAGACATCAGTAGTCAGTCCCAACATTCATATATTTTCAATATGGAGCTCCAAGCAGCCACTACCACTCTGTCAGAGCTAGCATGAAAGAAGAAACCTGTTTGTCATTTATACTCTAACAGGAGAAGAGACAGCCCTATGTGGGGAAGAGGCAGGTTTTAGGGTCAGATAGACCTTGGACCAAGTTCTAGCTTTGCCACTTACTAGCTGCATATCCTTCGGCAAATGGTGTAAACTGTCTGAGGCTCAGTTTCTTCATATGAAAGAAGGAGATCATGAAAGTACTGGTTTCATAAGGTGGTTGTGAGGATTCAATGAGATAATCCATGCAAAATGCTTGGCCCAGTGCTATTGAGTTATAGGGAAGCAGTTTCTAAAGAATTTGTTTCTGTAAGAGATGATTCCAAGAAACCTGCCAAGGAGAGGCCACAGAACCCAGCAAGTTAGCAGAGCTTTCAAATAGCTCCTTTCTCCAAGAAGGTGTGGCCAATGCAGACAGATCCTTCTCCAAGCCCCTCTTACCCTAAATGTATCATATAAACATCTAAAGCAATGAGGATATCCTCTCCTGGTTCACCTCTTAGTGAAAGCACAATGAGCCAGCTAGTGAAGAAAGACAGTTCACCTCAGCAGACCTGTGTACGAGGCCCACTGTGTGCCAGGCACCATGGAGGTGCTATAGTGCTTGGCTGTGGAACAGCTTGTCTCCCCAGCCAGATGACTGCTCCTCCCAGTCAGAACAGCAGCCCCTGGCATCTCCCACGATGGGAGCATAAGGCTGGTTATGCTGTAGTTATTGATCTGCCACTTTATTAAGCCATCGAGGACTTACCAAGACCCACTGTGGACACCACCTTTCTGGGGTTATATTCAGAAGCAAGAGGCAAGGTCCCTGCCTGGCCATTTATCCAACAAACATGTCTTGAACATCTGTTATATGCCACACTCTTCATGAGGTCCTGGGGATACAGAGATTAAGAGATACCACTTCTGCCTTTACAAAAGTTTCAGCCTGTTGGGGAAATAAGACAGAAATACACATCCAAATGTATTTATACAAACCTTTCACATATGAAAATATATGTATTCTTCAACCAAAAAAAGAGGAAAAAAAGGGAAAAAAAAAGAAATGAAGAGAGACTCTGAAGATTAAAAGCAATTTTAAAAACGTATATCAACGAGTCACCATGTGTGGACTTTATTTGGATCTTGATTTAAAAGAACGAACTTAAAATTGTTATGACATTTTAATTTAAGACAGTTGGAAATGTAAACACTACCTGAATTTGTCAATGATATGAAGAAATTATGTTAATTTTTAGGTGCAATAATAGTACTATAGTTATGGGTTTTTTTAAAAAGAGAGTCCTAGGGACTGGCTGGCTAGTTTAGTCAGTTAGAACGTGTGCTGATAACACCAAGGTCCAGTGTTTGATCCCTGTATCTGGCCAGCCACCCAAAAAAAAAAGTGAGTCCTGATCTTTCAGAGATACAGACTGAAATATTCATGGAAAAATGATTGGGTATCTAAGACTTGATTCAAAATAAGTACAGAAGGGAGAAATGGTTGGGAATGTAGTTGAAGCAAGATTGGCCATGAGTTCAAAATTGTCAATGAGAACATGGAGTTTCATTGTAACATTCTATTATTATCCCATAATAAAAATTTAAAGATTATTCAACATAACTGTTTAACAAAACAAGTTAAATCAGGCAGGAGAGGCAACATGATGTGGTCAGAAAAACAAGGGATTTGATGTCAAATAGCCAGAGTTTGAATCCCACTTCTCCTACTTAGCAGCTGAGCAAGGGACTTAATCTCTCAGAGCCTCAATTTCCCCATCTTTAGAATGGGGTAAAGATAGTAGGCACCTCAGAGTGTTTGGGGAGATTCATTGGGATGGCATTTGGGGCCCAGTGCTAGGCCCAGCATGCAGTAGAGACTCAACACCTGGACTGTGATTTTAAGACGCCTCTAATTCCCGTGAGCCGAACCTGACCCTCGAGTGCTTCTCTTTCAGCTGGCGTTCCCGGAGAGGAGCCCAAGTGCAACATCTGCCTGGGGAAGACATCAGGGCCACTGAATGAGATCCTCATCTGTGGCAAGTGTGGCCTGGGTGAGTGGGACAAGCAGGACACTGAGAAGGCCCTAAGCTGTAGGTGCCCCCACACTGGTCCCTGATGGCCACTGCTCCCGGCTGTTGGGGCCTCAGCTGGCTGCCTGTTTCTCTGGGAGTTCCAGGGTGGAAGGAGGCCAGGCTCTGAGTGCGGGGCCAGGGGAGTAACTGATAGAGTATGCAGTCTGGGGCCCTCCTAGGTGGAGAGGAGAGGTGGGAAAGATGGGGTGTGGGTGCTGAAGCCAAACCTTGGTGCCTCCCACTGGCCAATGCTGTCTTCTAGTCCTCAGCCTGGAAACCAACTTGGCAGTCTTGGTGGGCATCATCAGCCCATCTCCCAGCAGCTTGAGGCAGAGGTCCTAGGACTTGCCTTTGAGTCTGCTGGCCTTGGGCCATTGCTTCCTTGTCGGCACTCACCACCCCCTCCTCTGCTGTAGGTTACCACCAGCAGTGCCACATCCCCATAGCAGGTGGTGCCGACCAGCCCCTGCTCACACCTTGGTTCTGCCGACGTTGCATCTTCGCTCTGGCTGTGCGGGTGAGTCCTCCCTCCTTCCCAGTCACTGCGTCTCCTGCCTCCTCCAGTCAGGCAGCCCAGAGACTCCCTGGGCTCAGACCTGACTCCCCATCACGGAACCTGAGCTCCAAGCAGAAGGGTCATGCCTGGGCTTTGAGGACATATGGTGCCTCTGATGCTTACCAGCTGTATGTCCTGGGCAGGGTTCCATAGGCTCCCTGAGCCTCAGTTTCCTCAACTGTAAAAAGGACATGGGTTTGGTGTCAATAGTAGGAGGCCCCCAATAAATGGTGCTTTACTATTGAAAGAGAAAATCGATGTAAATGCCACACCGAGTACATATTGGTAATTGTTACTTTTATTGTGTTTGTTACTATTAATACTATTATTAATGGATATCCTCCTGGGATAGAGAAAATGGGTTTGGGATTGGTGAGAAAAAGCTCCTTGTGTTTCTGACAACCTTGGAATATCTGCGGGTTCCTACAGACCCTGGGCATCATTTCCCTTGGGAACCCTATGCTGACACCTGTGGCCCAGCCCTGACCCCGCAGGTGACTCCGGCCCTTGTCTCCCCCCAGAAAGGCGGCGCGCTAAAGAAGGGCGCCATCGCCAGGACGCTGCAGGCCGTGAAGATGGTGCTGTCCTACCAGCCCGAAGAGCTCGAGTGGGACTCGCCCCACCGCACCAACCAGCAGCAGTGCTACTGCTACTGCGGAGGGCCGGGAGAGTAAGACTGCGGGGACAGGGCCCCCAGGGAGGCGGGGCGGGGCGGGGCCGGGCTGGACAGGGCGGGCCCTGGAATGTCAGCCTCGAGGGCGGGGCCCCGGGGGGGGGGGGCCGGGAGAGTCAGGCAGCCGAGACAGGACCCGGGGAGGCGGGGCAGGGCCCCCGGGGAGGCGGGGCAGGGCCCCCGGGGAGGCGGGGCAGGGCCCCCGGGGAGGCGGGGCAGGGCCCCCGGGGAGGCGGGGCAGGGCCCCCGGGGAGGCGGGGCAGGGCCCCCGGGGAGGCGGGGCAGGGCCCCCGGGGAGGCGGGGCAGGGCCCCCGGGGAGGCGGGGCAGGGCCCCCGGGGAGGCGGGGCAGGGCCCCCGGGGAGGCGGGGCAGGGCCCCCGGGGAGGCGGGGCAGGGCCCCCGGGGAGGCGGGGCAGGGCCCCCGGGGAGGCGGGGCAGGGCCCCCGGGGAGGCGGGGCAGGGCCCCCGGGGAGGCGGGGCAGGGCCCCCGGGGAGGCGGGGCAGGGCCCCCGGGGAGGCGGGGCAGGGCCCCCGGGGAGGCGGGGCAGGGCCCCCGGGGAGGCGGGGCAGGGCCCCCGGGGAGGCGGGGCAGGGCCCCCGGGGAGGCGGGGACTCGGGGGACGGGCCCCCGAAGGTAAGGCTTCAGGGGGTGGAGTCAGGCAGCCGAGACAGGACCCGGGGAGGCGGGGACTCGGGGGTGGGGCCCGAGGGAGCGGGATCTTAAGGGGAAAACCCGAAGGTTAAGGCCGTAGGGCCCGGCTCCCAAGTGCGGGGGTAGAGGGCAGAGGTGTTTTCTCGGAGCACCGAAGCAAAGGAGGAAGTTTTGAAGAGTGGTTAGGAGCCACTTGGTGCACATCCTCCCGGGACGTCTACATCCTGGTCCCGCCCCTTAACAGCTGTGTAATCTCTGAGCCTCAGTTCTCTTAATAGTTTCCCCATCAAGTGTTTAGATAAATCACGTAAAGGTTCACACAGTGCCTGGCACATGGTAACCACTTAAAAAACGTGAGCTGTTTCTGATGGTGGAGGTGGTAATGATATTAATGCATGGAAGTGAAAATAACCTTTTCACTGTCAGAGCAAATGAAACAGGCTGATGGCGAGATACGAAGGTCCTTTTCCCTGGAGATGTGCGCAGGGGCTGGGAGTCATATGTTAGGGATGCTGTGGAGGGGGTTCTCGTGGAGGGGGATATGGGGCTAGAGTCTTTGGTTGATTCTTCCTTGCTGACCTGGGCCTCCGTGTATCTATGAGCAACTAAACCTGCTGCCTTGGGATGATTGCACCAGGCATTGTGGAAGGAACCACAGACATAAGAGGTAGGTCTCTGCCCTCAGGAAACTCAGCCTTCAGGACCCCCTGAAGTACTGAATTTCAGCCTCAAGTTCTGTGGACCAGAACTAAGGGTCTGGAGGCCGGGTAACTTGGGTAAATCACTTGAGCTACTCTCTCAGATGGGCTTAATCACCTCAGCCCCATCAACTTCCTGGGATATTGGGAGGCCTAAGGGATAACAAATGGAAAAATGCTTACAGAAACTTTAGAGCATTAAGGCTTCTCAACACTTAATGGGCAGAGTTGCACACGGTGATTGTTAAAAATACATTTCTCAAAGGCTTCCCCAAAGACTGAACAGGTCTAGATAGAGCCTTCCCTGACTGTTGCAAAGGTGCTGCAGCTCAGGTGGAAGGAAGAGGCTGCTTTGGCCACGCGTTGTCCCTGCAGCCCAGCGGGAAGCGAACACATTCTCAAAAGCTGAAGGCTCCAGCGACCCCTCTTACCAGCATCACAGCAGTCCCAGGTTGCAACAAGGACGGTGTCAGAGAGGGCTGTAAAAAATGTGGCTACCCTGGTCGCCTGACTTGAATGCCACAATATTCTCCAAGTAGACCTCAAAGGGGACATAGTTTTGGATATCAGCAGTACAAGCAGTGAAGATAGTGATGAAGAGAACAAAAAACGGAAAGTATTGCAGGCATTACATGAAAAAAGAATAAATGAAAAAGAGGGAAGAAAAGAAAAAATCAAAGAGAATATCAAATTGAAAAAAAAAAAAGGAAAAGGTCTTATTCATCCAGTTCCACTGAAGAGGACACTTTAGAACAAAAGAACAAAACTATCAGAAGAAAGAAAAGAAAAATAAATAAATAAATAAGTGAAACATCACAA